AAGGCAATTACTAGCTGACAGAGTAATCACCATTTGTTTACAATTTTATAAGGGACAGATACAAGCCTGAACTGTCTTTATCTGAGACAATTTCATAAGACACTCACTTTACAGCATTTTGAAGCAACTAAGTGCAAATGCAACACACACAAAACAAGAATAAAACATAATTTTAACAAAACACAATTCATAAGAGAAACAAATTTGCAAACACTTAAAACATACAACTTAAAATTAAGACACTTTTAAAACAAAAGCTGAAACAAAGGCCAGAAGAGTTTATATGAAACAAAAACCAGAATCTATGAAACAAATGAAAGCCTATGAAACAAGTTACAAACTATGAAGCAAAAAGACCAAAGTCAGAACCTATGAAAGAAAACTCTAAACTCCAACCAGTAATCTTGGTGGAAATCCTCCAAAATGATATAAGGGGAAGCAATGTAACTCCCAAACCTGCTAGATAGCTGAAATGCAAGTTCATGTTCTCTAAAATTGAAGAATGAATTCTAGGAACAATGGAGGTTAAGAGTATGAAAAATTTATTGAGGGAATAAAAGCTTCTGTCTAAGAGAAGCAGAAGGGGGACCAGAAAGTGTGTTACTCCCCTTGGAGATAGATTTCATTGACTCATTTACTCATTCAACCAACAAGTGAATACAGACAGAGTACATCTCCGGTGCTGTACCTATGCTAAGTGTAGGGTTACCAGTGTTCAAAATGACCTAGTCCTGGGAATCTGGAAGCTGGACACAACTGCCAGTGTGGCACCCTGTTGTCTTAAAATAACCAAGGTCTACTGTATAGTAATGTATAGTAATGTATAGGCTGATCTTGGGTTTTTGTTTTTGTTTCTTTTGCTTTGGGCTAGAACAGTATTATTGTCAGACTTTGCTTTTTTATCATGAATAAAAGAATTATTTCCATTTCTTCTTTTTAAATTTGGAAAAGTAGTTCTTAGATTACCATCATTTCCTTTATAATCTTCCAGCAATATACATTCTTCAGGTTGGAAACCATTAACAATCACTATTTTGGGGTAACTTTGTCTAGTCAGCTAAGAACATATATGTGCTGCAAAATTGTACTTTTACAATTTCTTGTTTTTTCCAAGTTAGAATAAATTTATTTTTTGTTTCAGACCATTTAAAACAAATGATTACAAAACAACTACAATTATAAAGTTAAATTACTGTAATTACTAGCAGCTTTAAAAAGGTTCTAGTTTTGAGAAGTAACAAATCTACTTTCCAAGTGTGTAATACTGTTAAATTTCAAACCATCAACTGATTTGAATAACTTTACTAAAGGCCTACTCTGTTTGAGTTATTGGGTGGAGTTACCATGCTAAATGAAACATATTCCTTGCCCTCTAGAAATGCTGTGGAGGAACCAGGCATAGCAACTTTAATGTAAGGTACTTTCTTCTTGCCTCTCATTTTGCATTTTCATAATAGTGCTATGGGGAAACAGAGTTAGCACATTATTTGAATTGGAGTCCACAGGGAAGAGTGGAAGAGAGTCTTCATTAAGAAATAATATTTAACCTACCCTGGGCATGGTGGTGCTTGCCTGTAATCCCAGCACTTGGGAGGCTGAGGGAGGAGGATTGCTGTGAGTTTGAGACCAGCCTGAGCTACATAGTGAGTTCCAGGTCAGTCTCAGCTACATAGTGAGACCTTGTCTCAAAAAACCAAAAAAAGAAATAATGTTTAACCTAAACATTTGAGAGAGAGAAAAAGAGCAGGGGTAAGGGGATGGGCAGACCCAGGAAAAGGCAGTAGCTTGGAGGTCTTCAATTAAAGGGCTGGGGGGAAGAGAAGACGCCCAGAGGCTGAGGAGTAGCAGAGATGCTTGGAGATAGACTGTGGAAGCCTTCATTTCTTATCCTAAATTACTTAAGAAGTGACTAAGGGGCTTAATAAGCCATGGGTGAAACAAAGAATGCTGGCAGTTGGAAAAGATTTTATCCATCAGACCCAGAGAAGATGATTCTTTAGTGACCTCATGCAGGGTCTCTTCATCATGGCTTCCCTCTTAAAGGCTCAACAAGTTACCTGTAATAACCACCTGCTCAGGTGTGAGTTGAATTTAATCCCCCCTTTTTTTTTGCATGGTTTAAGTGAGAGACTAAGTACTAAATTTTGATAATATCTTAGTCAATTTAGTTACTGTACCTCATGAAAGTGTGTATTTAAGGATGATCGACTGAAATCTGTGTATTGATTTACACATGTTCCCTGTGGCATCTGTGGCATCACACAGAGATAAGTCAGGGTCACTTGTTCCTGCTTTCTAGATGATCTGTTCTCGCTCTTTCTTTGTATATGACTCCCAACATCTCCAGGTTTGAGACACTGTCATTTTCACTTATAGTGAAACTGATCCTTAAAAACCAGTGGCTGTAGCTTTTAATGACTTGGAGAAAGAGTCCCTGGCTATGCTGGGTTGTTTCTGAATACTGGTTACGGCATTCAGGAAGTAGCTTTTGAATACCAGTTATGTACCAGGGATTTCAATTCTGAGTATTGGTAATAAAGTGATGAATTGACCAGGTAGCAATCCCTGCCCTTGTGGAGTTTTTTTTTCTTTTTTTTTTTTCCAGTTGGGGTGAGATGGATCCAGAGAGGGATGATAAATAAATATAAATATATGAAATAAATGACATAGTGAATGAAGATTAGTACTATGGAGAATAACAAAAATCGGGAAAAGGACATAGGGAATTCTGGGGCCTCTTTTGATGTGTGCACATGTACACGTGTGTGCAGATGTAGATGTTCAGTTTCTAAGAGCATGGTCTAGGAATGACTGTGGAGAAGTGGCATTTGAGCAGACACCTGGAGCTGGTAAAGAATGGGTGGGAGAGTTGAGTGTATGCGGGAAAGAGTGCTCAGGCAAAGGGAAGAGCAAGGCAGCAGCTGCCGAGGGAAGCCAGGCTGATGTGTCTGACCAGCTCCCTGTGGTCCAGTATCCAGGGAACTGCATGTGTATGAACGGTGTGGAGAATAGCAGTGGGGGTTAGCAAGGTAAGTTAGGAAAGGGCTGGAGACTTCATCTTTTTCCCTGAGGGAGGAGATGGGAAGCAATGGGGATGGGAGGATGTAAGCGGACAGGTACCACAATATGCCCTGAGCAGGATTGCTGACAGGGGACCAAACACCTTTTAACCTGTAAAGTTGTTGTAGCCTTTCATTTCAAATCAACATATGTTTTTTGAGTTTTTGAAGTCAGGAATAGAAAAATCCCCAGTACATTTTTCTTGGCCTTGTGATTAATACCATTAAATGATGCGTCAATTTGGAAAGTGCCATTCTACTAAGGAAGTGATATTTCCCCCGGAAAAATATCATGGAGATGATTGCTACTTAAATATTATGCCTAAAGTTCCTTAAGTTAAAACTCTCAATTTCTATTCAGTGCCTCCTTACATGTTTTTTTGTTTGTTTTGTTTTCCATAAATAGTTTGAAATAGGATGTTCCAGGAACCTGTTGTCAGGTTTATTATTTCAAATTCCTTTGCCCATTGAACTCCAAAGAAATTTTTATAGCACCTATGTACAAGTGGCCACACATTTTTATTCTTTTTGAGAGCTTTCCTGAATTCATCAACTCTTGTCAGTTACAGTTTGGAGAGATCAAGACTTTGCTCAAGAGAAGTAGCCACAGGAATGGGTAAAATTAAACTATTAAAAAATTGGCTGAATTTAATCAAAACAAATCCAGTGCTAGAGACTGTTTTAGAAGTTCACAGCTGCTTTAGGGTTTTAGAAGTTAATCTGTTCATTATATGTTTAAGTCACAGACTCACTGAAACCAATTTCTCTCTTAGTTTTAAATTCCTCATTTTATAGTATTTCCTCCACAGTCTTTTTGTTTTATTTTGTTTTTGGTACTGGGGATCGAACTCGGGTCCTTGCTCTTGCAAGGCAAGCACCGTAACCACTGAGCATTTCCCTAGCCCTTCCATCACAGTCTTAAGGACATTCTGATAAAATTTTTGGTTATTACAAATCCAAGAGGAATAACTAAGTAATTGGATAACTATTTCAGAATTTAAATTTAAAAGATGAAATCTAACAGAGATAAAAGTAAATATTTGCATTCTGCCTGTTACAGTGAGGAAGATCTGATAGAATAATTTGATTCCAGTGTATTTTATGTGTCTGTTCAGAAGAGATGTATGTTACCTAGTCATGGGTGAAGTCTGAAAGACACCCTTTAAGGTATACACACACACACACACACACACACACACACACACACACACACAAAACTATTAAGAAAGAGAAGGAGTAGAACTAGGAGACAGTAGGTGTAACCTCATTTGCAAAGAACATTTAGGGGACCATTGTATTCTTTAGTGAGAAAAGAGAAATTTGGGGGAAGTTAATAGTCTCTAAAGAGGAGAAATATAATCAGTGAGAGAAGTTTTGGAGCCTGAATCTAACAATGTGGATTGTTCAAGAAAATGATCAGCAACTTCAAAAATTAGTCATTCTAAATAAACAAATCGAGCTTGAGTTTCATGGTGTTGTTCTGTGTAGAAAGGCTAGATTATGCCACTCCTAACACACTTTGGTGTTAGAAATAGCAGTTGAGCTTGGATCTTCTGATTACCAGTATTTCTTCATTACATCACTCAGTTACTTTGTTCCTCTTTAAACTTATTTCTAGGATGCATTATTACTTCAGAAAAACTATACTATCCATCACAATTTTTCCTCTGTCAGACTCAAGCTTCATGGGTTGAGGGCATGCTTCTGTGCTTTAGAATAATTTTTGAAATTAGAATTCCTTGGGCTGGGGATATAGCTCAGTGGTTCCACAGCCTGCCTCACAAGCACAAGGTCCCGAGTTTTCTCCGGTACAAAATCCTGCCTCACAAGCACAAGGTCCCGAGTTTGATCCCCGGTACAAAAAAAAAAAAAATTAACAATTTATTCATATTTTAAAATCACATTTCAGTAAGTTAGCAATTTTGTTGCTGTTGGTTATAGGTGGAAAATGAATCGATTTTCTATGTTCATGATGGAAGTGAGACACTTCTTGACAATTTTACCATCTTTGCAAATAACTCAGAGCTTGGAAAACAAAGTCTGCCCCAAACTCTTTTTGTGACTGTTGAATCTATCAATGATGAAGCTCTGGAAATAACAGCCAATAAAATTGTCCAGGTAAGTGCTACATGGTTTTGATGTAACCTGAGAACTGAGAGCTGCTAAATTGATTTGCATTTATATTATTTTTAGTGTTAAATAATAAGGCTCTGTATATATGGTTTGTATAGTCCTACTGTCTCGTATACATACTAGTCATTTTCAGGACATTCTGCTGGTTACTTTTGGGAGGAGATAACGAGTCACAACATTTGCATTTCTCCAGTTGTCATCACTCTTGCCCTTTTCCAGGGAGCTTACACAGCTGTCTTGCACGGGAAAGCTCCTGCTAGACTGAAAATGTGATGGTTAAGAGAGTGAGGTTTGCAGTAGACAAATCTGAGTGACAGTCCTGGCTCCTCACCATTAGCCGTGTCACCTTGGACAAGTTACTTAGCCTTCAAATTTGCTCTCATTTGGGTAAGGAAGATGGGAACAGAGTTGTGAGAATTAATAAGATGATGAAAGGCTTGCACACACTGTTTACATGTGATTAGCATTGTGCTCTACTGGTTAAAAAAAACAGGCCATACTATTTTTTTTTTTGATAAAATAAGGTCATTGCACAGTCATGAGCAGTATTTTTCTGATCTAGGAGTTTCCATCCCCCTTCACTCTCTGAGATTTGCATCACAGATACGCATTTCTTGGCTGGTAGGTGTTCACCATTTTTCTCCTCTCCTGATCTGACAATTACCCAGAGTTATTACTGCTGCGTGGTTGAAATGCAGTTGCCTCCTGGCATTGCTGCCCTGTTTCCCACCGTGTAAGCATCTGTGTCAGTGTATACTCAAATATCCCAAAGCTTACATTTATTAGATTACCTTGGTTTTAACTTACTTTATCTTTATGTCCCATCATCGAAGGACTCGCAAGACTGACGTTATGGTTTAGATGTAGAATGACCTTCAAAATTCCTCAACCTAGCCAAACACCTACTTCTCAGATGACTTTGCAGAGTAAGCTCAGTGGGAATGACCACAGCAAGACTCTGTGGGGTAGAGGGAGAGAAGCAGCTGAAAAGAACAGAGGGCCACAAGCTTGGTTAGGTAGCACAGACCATTCCTGGACTCCTTGGGTAAGGAACACACAAAACAAACTTATAAAGTAACAAGTTCCAAAGGTAAAAATACTGTTTATTTTTCACATAAAATGTAGAGAGCATGTAATGAAACAAGCTCTGAGATAACTAAACACATTAAAAAGCCTATTCCTAGATTCAAGTATTTTGAACAAAAATAAATGTTAAAAGCCCAGCTATTTTTAATAATGTGGAAATGTGCTAGTTAGATTAGCCCCTGGTGAGCTCCAGGTTTTGCTCTCACAGTCATTTAATTGTTCCTAAGGTGCTTTATAAATTAAGGTCAAAGTTCACTGTTTTATATTGTATTGGTGTTTCCCTTGCTTTCTTCATATCCTTTCCTATCACCTATCTGGCCATCACTCTCACCAGAGAAACTATCCTTTATATCAACACCATCCACAGATGATTCCCTCTCCTGCGCATTCTGTAGCTTGATGGTCTAGATTCTTGCCACTTAGGAAATAATAGAAGGTCTGGGGGTTGCAGTAGAACATGTGCTTGGTGTGTGTGATATCCTGGGTTCAATCCTTAGTACCACCAATTAGGGATTTTAGCTGTCATTAGTCTTTAATCACATTATAAAAGTTAACATTTATTGTGTGTTTACTGAGTTCAGGGCATCTTCTGTGACTGATGTTGTTTGTCACACCTCTCCAGGAACAGCCACGATGAGCAACCCTCTTTGTAAAATGGGAAAATTGACGCATAGAGTGGCTACAAGGGAGGGAGTGAACTTGAAGCTGAGTCTGCTCACATTTCCCACTCTCAGCACCATAGTCTGTCCCTTTTCCCTGTTACTCCTGACTGCCTAAGGTTTCAGCACACCCATGTTAGCAGAGAATGTCTTCATTGGTAAAGAAAAAAAGACGAAAAGAGAAAACAGTGCTGAAGTTACTATGCCTTGTTCCTGCTGAAGTGGCTTTTATGGGTGTAGTGCTATAGCAGTTCTGTCAACATGTGGTTTTGCCTAGGAACCCAAGGAGATTTGTGGGCTTTGTTGTGTGGTGCAGAGTGCAGGATGAGGAGGGTCCAAGGAAGGAAAGAGAGGCCAAGACCTCACAGGAGATGATACAGAGTTGATGCGGGGGAGGGGGAGGAAAAGGTAGTCAATGCTTAGGCGTCTTTGTGGAAAGGAATTAAGATGCACCATTAATTCAATCACAGCTTTGCTGTGTAAAATGTATATGTCAGTGTAAGATGTTCAGAAACCGTGAAATAGCCTAGACTTTGTCTTTGTTCTCCTTTAAAATTAGGGGAATACAGTCTCTGTTCAGAGCCATGGGGTTGTTCAGTGATTTACTGCCTCCCTCTGATGTTGACAGAAGAATGTTCTCTCCAAAGAAATAGAGACAGAGGATCTGGGGTGGGGGAGACCATTTCCTTTCTTTTTATGTTATTCCCTGAATAGGCTGGATCCAGGCCAGCAAGAACACAATTTACCACTTTTCTGTTTGTATGGTTCTGTTTTTGGTACCGGGGACCAAACTCTGGTCCTTGTGCTTGTGAGGCAGGCTGTGGAACCAATGAGCTAAATCCACTTTTGATGGATATGTCATTCACATTGGCCCCTTCTGAGTTCATTCATTCATTTATCTGATTTTAAAGAATGTTCTTTAAAGGACGAAGGTTTTGGATTAAAATTAGGGTACTAGAGTTTAAGATTTTTAAACTGACTAGTTGAGTTTGAATAAAATCTCTATAGGTTTCATTTTCCTTAATATCAAAACTGTAGGGGAATAGGTTGTTTTGCTTGGTTTTGCTTAATTCCTCCCTGTTCTAATCCTCTGTGAGCATATCATGGGAAAACTTGCTTGATGTGCTCTGGTTCTTTTCAGCTTGATTTGGACAGATGGAGAAGCTATAGTGCTGCCATTTTATATTGGAAGGATTCACTATAAACTGGGTGGAATTTTTATATTTAAGTGTGAACCATTTATTTAAGAAAAGTCACTGTGTCTGTAGACTAGAAGGGGCTAGGTATTACTGTAGGATGTGTGTATTAGTCAGCTTTTCAAATGCTGAGATACAATACCTGACACCCCCAATTTAAAGGAGGAAAGGTTGAATTTGGCTTACACTTTCTGGGAATTCAGTCTATGGTAAACTGGGTCCAAGGCAGAAATACCATGGTGGAAAGGCATAGTGGAACAAAAATACTTAGCTCATGGCAGCCAGGAAATAGAGCAGGGGAACAGTGCCAGAGAGGAAAGAGCCTGGGGCCAAACACATGTCTCCATGACCCACCCAGAGTCACCCGGAAGTGTGTGTGTTACTAATTCCTGGGTTCTCAAGGCAGGCAGGTTGACACAATCTTAACCATCACAGCATGCTAACTAGTTACGTACAGATATAGAAGTAGTTTGGGTAGGACTGGTTTGATTATTTTAAAATGGAAAAAAATCCCAAGTTGTGTCTTCAATTACAGGCAATGGCCATGGTGCGAATACCCAGTGAAAATCTTTCCATACTGTGGTGTTGTGGCTCACTTGCCAAACATGATTGTTTTCCTTTGTCTAAACTGACTGTTTGAAATTGTATTGATTTTCATTCATATGATACTGAGTTCAGTTAGATGTATTCTCGTAAGCATAGCTGTGTTACCACCTCTGGGAAGTCTGGTTGGACTATGGCTCCCCAGGATTCTAGATGGGATGCTCTGAAAGAGACCTTCTCTGGCCACCCCAGATGAGAGAGTGTTGTGCTGTTTTATTTCTCTGGATTTGTTTTTTTTCTTTTTAGTGCCTCCCACTTTTCTGATATTAAACAGTGTATGATCTTTCTTCTCCCATAAATGTAAGGTGAATTTGAAAGGGAGTCTACATGTCTTTTCTCTTTGATATCATCAGTGCCTGGCATAGTACCTGAGGAGCTCAATAAATTTTAAATGGCTAAATAAATGCCTTCATGGAGCTTCTGTTCAGTGAGGTTGTCAATAAAATTATATTATAAATGGAGGATGATCTCTTGTACTTTATGCAAAGCACTATGAGGATAGAGAAGGATTGGGACCGAAGAATACTTAATGTTGTAGAGAAGGTGGTTAGGAAAGGACTCCGTCAAGAGTCCTGTATATCAGGGTTTCCAAGACCTCCTCCAGGTTCATTGATTTGCAAAGACTCAGAGGGCAAAGCATATTCATGGCTTACATTTATTACAGTGAGAAGTATGAAAGTCAGCAAAGAGAAAAGGCATATGGCGTGAAGTCCAGAGGAAACTAGGTCAAGTCGGAGTGCTTTTCCAGTGATGTCATGCAGAGTGTATGTAATTGCTCCAGCAATGGCAACAACACATGCAAAGTGTTTTCTGCCAGGAAAGTTCATTGGTTACTGGGTGTCAAAAATTTTTATAGGGAGCTGATTAGGTCGACACTCTGCCTAGTATGTACCAAGATCTCAGACTTCCTGGAGGAAAGCAGGTGTCCAGCATGAACCACATTGTATAAACACTTTAGGCACAGTGAGGCGCTCTCACCATTTAGAGAAAGTTTAACATCAATGTAGAAAACTGTTTAATAGTCAGGTTTCCAGATGACAGTGAAGGGCCTTCCTTACAAGCAGACCTTTCTAGGGAAGGGCTATCTTAAGCTTGTTGTAAACCCTTTTCTCAGTAAAGGTGGGCTTAGTTAGATAATTCATTCACATGGATATTATAAGGAAGAGCATTCCTGGCAAAGGAATATTCTGGAACAAAGGCAGATCTGTGGTGAGGCTGGAATGTCTGAAGGCATGAAAAACTTGGAGTAACTGTAGCAGATGGAGAGAGGAGAGTAAAAGATATTTAGTTCCATGGTGAAAGTTGATGTCTGGGGATAAGGACCACCTGGTGCTACATGATTTTGTTCCATTAGGTTTCCAAAGATAATTATAGGGAATCAGCCAGTGTGTACTGAACCCCTGCTATGAGTTAGGCTCAGTTCTAAAAGTACCACATGAAT